TGTTACCTTGAGTAAATCATTACTTTTCTTAAACCTCAGTTTTCATGTCTTTAGAATGGGGATAATTATAGTTCTCGGCTCCTAGGGTTCAGATGAAAAGTAAATGGGATAATGCATGAAAGTGCTTAGCATAGTGCCACCCAGAGCAAGCTACTTTGCTTATTATTAGTCTTTCTGTTATTATTACAAAACACACCCAGAATTTCTACTATCAACTATTGCTTTTGATTCCAAAACTGCATTCCCGAGGCCATGCCTCTAACCTCAGCTCTGGAGTGATGTCTCCATCAGCCTACTCATAATTCCACCTGGGTCAAAGTATATATTAACTTTATCACAGCCAAAATAAACATTCATTTCTATATTCCTAGCAGGGAACACCTCTAGAATCCCTTGTTAGCCCAAGTCAGATACCTGGAGTCTTCCTAGGTTTCTCCCTCTCTACCCCTCCATGATCCAACCCAAGCATCCCATCAACTTGACTACTTAAATCTCTCTGGAATCTTTCTCCTTTCCTTTCTAATGATCATCACCTTGTTCCCATCTTCATTACTTCCTGCCTGGTCTCTGCTATAACGCAGCCCAGAATGATCTTCCTGTAATACTACCAGAATGATCTTTGTATGATGAAAACCCAATTGTGTCATTACTGGATTAAAAATCAATCCTTCAGCCCTAGCTGGTTTTGCTCAGTGGTGAGAACATCGGTCCACAGACCAGTGAGTCACGGGTTTGATTCTGGTCAAGGTCATGTACCTCGGTTGTGGCTGGTCCTGGCCCTGGTTGGGGTCATGTAGGAGGCAACCAGTCGATGTGTCCCTCTCACGTCAAAGTTTCTTTCTCTCTCCCTCGCTCTCCCTCCCTCCCACTCTATCTGAAGATTAATAGAGAAAATATCCTCAGGAGAGGATTAAAAAATAAATAAAAATTAAAATCAATCCTTCAGTGGTGCCTCACAGCTTTTAAAATAAAGTATCAACAGCGAGTGCATGTGGTTGGTGCATACTTCTCTAATTTCATTTTTTGTCACTACTCCCCTAAACAGGGAATCTCGAATGTTTTTTTTTTTTTTTTTATCCTCACCCGAGGACATTTTTCCACCCTTTGTTCATATAAAGTGGGAAGGAGAGAGAGGAAGAGAGAGAGGGCCGCATGACCAACCAGGGCCGGGAACAAACTGCAACCGAGGTACATGCCCTTAGCAGGAACCGAACCCAGGCCTCTCTGGACCACAGGCCGACGCTCTAACCGCTGAGCCAAACCGGCCAGGGCTCGAACGTTTTTTATTTCATACCCTTATCAGTTCAAAAAAAGGATGCACCCCAATAAACGTATATTTATTTTAATTATATACAAAACTACTAGTGAAACACATACATTATAAAACATATTTACCAAATACAAATCTTTACAAGGTGGGAAAAACGAGTGAACATAATGGGAATGCTCATAATTTCTTTGAGCATCCCAATGACTATTTTGTGTACCTTCCCCTCATCCCACACTTCGGTTTCATTGTATTATCTGTAGATCCCTGTGGCAGTTTACTGATGTCATTGTGCTTTTATATATACTGTGATTCTCTATGCGCAGAATAGTCATTTGTTCTTCTGGCTATTGTCATTTCTTCCTCCTTTCCATTCTTTCTTCCCATTACCCCTGCACCCAACTCAACCTGGCTACCTCCTTTGTATTTGGTAGAAAATTTCTCCAACTCCATCACCTACCACTCCAAATTATTGTAGCAAAGGGCACTGATGGAAATAGTAGACAGAATGAATTTCAGATTACCACTTGGGAAAAGAAGTATCTGGCCTTAGGAAGAAAGTAAGACTGCCCAGGATGTGGTGCGGCTGGACATCCTTTGGTCTGCCTTTATGACAGAATGCAAATGATCGACAAGCAAGCTGACGTTCCACCACTGCTGCTTTCTCCTTTTCAAAGCAGGCCCTCATCACGCATCTCCTTTTCTGGAAGAGCCTCCTAGGTGTCCTTATCACCTCTGGCTTGGATCCCTCCAATCTACTCAACAGAATGCTTCAAAATCCCCATGTGATTTCCTTACTACCCATATAAAATCCAACTTCCTTAGATGTGACATTCAAAGCATCCTCTATGATCTGGATTCCACCTACCATTCTAGGCTTCTCTACCACTGCTTCACTGCTTAGATGACCAGATTACAACCAAAAACATGTAAGTCACCTCTCCAGAACATGCACCACATGGCATGTTTCTGATACTTCTACACATTTTTGCTCAGATGTTTCCTTCACCTAGAATGTCCTTCCATGTAATTCTGTCTCCCCTGTGATATTGGAATCCCATTAATCTTTCAAGACATGGGCCCACCCCCACCTTCCGCTTGAGCAGTCCCTGATCCCCAGTTGAAACACAATCTTAAACTATATCATTTTCATAGTTTAGAGAACACCAGTGCACTTTATCATCATAGAAGCTCTTATGTTGCTTTTACAAACTCGGTCCAAGTGCCCTGCTAAAATCACTGTAGCCAAAGAAAGAACTGGGAACTCAAATGTAGGTCTTCAGACTCCAAAATACCTTGTGCACACACCATACCACAGATGCTACCTTCAAGAATTTCCACCTCCTGTGCTCCATGTGTGTTTCCTAACTTCGGTAACACAGTACTCCCAGTTCCGTCTTATGTTAGAGTTGGTATATGGTTGGTGAAGGGACCTCATCTTGTTCATCCCAGTATCCCCAGGCTGAATTTCATTCATTTACGTTTTAAAATATCCTTCATGTCAAGTTCCAAAATTAGTGCTGAAATGAGTACTCCAGAAGCCGAACAGGGTGGAGGCTGGGAATGTGGGCTCCTCCCTGGGCAAGTTACTCAATACCTATGTGCCAGAGCCTCATTTGTAAAATGGAGATACTTAGGCATTCCTCAGAGGGCTGTGGAGAGGATTAATTTAAGTAATGTACTTAAGACCACAACCCAGAGCCTGGCACACTCAATATACAGTGATACCTCGGTTCTCAAACGCCTTGACTTTCGACCAAATCGGTATTCGACCAGGAGATTCGAGAAACTTTTGTCTTGGAATCCGAACAAATATTTGGAACTCGAACTTCCAAGATGAGCCGAGTTGAGCCGAATGGCGTTCATTCGGCCCAGCGCGCCTTGCTCGCGTCATCAGTGTGAGTGCAGAGAGAGAGTCACGCTTTGTGGAGAGAGTCACGCTTTGTGGAGAGAGTCACACTTTACACTGAATTTAACCCTTAGACATACTGTACACTTTTATTTCTTGTTGAGACTTATGTTTTTCTACATATTATATACAAATTAGGCCAGTAAATAGGCATTTTCTGGGGCTTGGAACGAATTAATCCAGTTTCCATTATTTCCTATTGGGTTTCATTGCTTCGGTTCTCGAACAATTTGGTTCTCGACCGTCCTCCTGGAACGAATTATGTTCGAGAACCGAGGTATCACTGTATACCAGCTGCTGGTACATTTACCCACACATGACAGTACCTCAAAGGCCAAAAATTACTAAAAAAAAATACTACTCCAAATCACCAAGAGAAATTCTGATTATGAGAAATGTAAATTAGGAATGCAAGAAAGTGTTCAGAACAAATTTTATAAATATTTTCCTAAGCCTGGACGGTGTGGCTCAGTGGTTGAGCGTCAACCTATACACCAAGAGGTAATCAGTTTGATTCCTGGTCAGGACACATGCCCAGGTTGTGGGCCAAATCCTGAGGGGGGGGCATGCAGGAGGCGGGCAATTGATGGTCTCTCTTATCGATGTTTCTCTCTCTCTCCCTCTCCTTTCCCCTCCCTTTCTCTCTAAAATCAATAAAGAGGGAAAAAATTTTTTATAGTGAATGACTTTATGGGAAATAACTAGGTTTTACTATTAGAAGGTATACTATTAGAAAGTGAGATGAGTGTGTGAGATTTTATACACACATGCACACATACATTTCTTTCCCCTTAATTTTGCAGTGACTAAGGTTTTGCCTAAGCTAAGTACCAGATATTAGTCAAAAAGCTTTAGCAATTACAGGTGTATGACTCTTCACCCTGAAGGCAAAGAGCAAGCAAAGATCAAAGTCATGCACCCCTCTTAGAGGGCTGCATAAAACACATTCAATCTTCAAGAAATTTAGAAATTCCCCAGCCTGTTGAATAAATACACAAAGGCGTTTACTGACACTGATGAGTACACTGGAATAAACCCCCAGCAGCTGCTGTGTCTAATCTTGACACTGCTCTGATGCACCACACCTCAGTGAGTTACACTGACTCTTAGTACAGACATGTTAAGCAAGCTGGAGGTGTGAAAGCCTTCACATGCAACAGGTCTTTCCTCTACTGGGTCTCAGCTGCAATGAGATGATCCATGAAGAAATTTCTAAGATTCCTTTCAGATCTAAGTTCCATGACTCTGTCATTCTCCTGGGGGCCACCACGCACAGATAGGGCAGAAGTGTGGCCGCGTGCATACGCAGAAGCCAAGGGAAAGCGAAATTCTGGGCGCGGTTAAACCCGAAACGCTCATATTAGCTTGTAGGAGTCAAGCCGGGAGCCAGGGCAGTTAGAGAAAATGACGCATGGGAGAGGCCAGCACGGATAGAGACCTTCGAACCTAGGTTGGGAGTTCTGAAACTGCTTTTTTTACCTGCCACGGTCGACCTCGGAAACACGCACACAGACAAGGGATCTGACCCGGAGTTAGTTGTGGCTTACAGTTACCATCCCAAAGGAAAAGTTAATGCAAGTTGGGTTGCAGGCTTTGAAACAACCAGAAGAAACGGATCCTCTCACGGATCCCCCACTGGACACCATTCGCCCTTTTCCCAGCCCACCCCGGCCCGTCCTAGGCGGGCAGAGCTGCAAAGGTGGTCGAATGGGGTTTGAATCCAGTCCGTGCTGGGCCTGGCTGAGCCCGGGAATCTGCGCCCTCTTTGCACCCCAACTGGGCTGTGCGGAGCCCCAACTCGGGAAAAGGAGGTTCTGCGCCCACCTTGGTGCTGGGGTCCGGATCCGAGCAGCAACTGAAGGCAGCCTGGTCGGTTAGGCCGCCAGAGGCGGGCTGCGGTTCTGCCATGGCTGCACTGCTGTATCACGGACCGCGGTCCCGAGAGAGTGGCAGCGGCTCACGCTCCGCCCAGACCCTGCGCTGCCTTTCCCAGCGACCGCGTCGCGCCGCGGGGCGGGCGGCCGCTGACTTCCAGCCAATAGCTGTGCGGAGAGCAAGTTGGTTCTGTGCTGATTGAGTGCCAGTGAGTCAGCGCCTCCAGCCGCCGAGCTCTGCGCCCTAAGACTACAACTCCCAAGGTGCCTCGCGCCTAAGAGGCCCGCTAGAGGGGAGAAAACAAACAAACAAACAAACACCTGCTGGCTGAAACGAGTGGTTTCTCTGCATTGCTTGATGAACTAATTTTGATTCTGTTTAATTGCTGAAGTTCAGTAACCACACATACCTCAGGGCTGCAACTTGGTAGGAAATTGGAATCAGATGGAAAGAGAATTGGAATTACTTTTTTTTCGAGTATAAGAATCCCAAAGTCTAAGTTTAAACAGAACAGGATAATTAAAACAATTCTGACTTAGTAAAAAACCTAGGTTCGAGTTTTGGTTCCAGTATTTATTAGCTTGAAATAACTGAACTTTCTTGCAGGATTTTGTTGAGGATCAAATGAGATTGAAGGCATTGTTTCACGACTCATGAGTCAAAGGTCCAGAACTTTCAGTGCGTTTCAGTTAATTTTGCTAAGGCATATATTTTAATTGTCTTAATTTTTAATTGTTTTGTTGTTCCTCACCTGAGGATATTTGTCCGTTTATTATTAGATGGGGGGGGGGGGAGAAAGAGAGAGAGAGAGAGAGAGATGCCACATCGACTGGTCGCCTCCTGCACCACCCAATCACCACCCAATCAGGGCGGGGAAGAACTACAACCGGAGTCAAACCCACCACTCATTGGTTCACGGGTCTATGCTCTAACGCCTGAGCCAAACTGGCCAGGGCTTAATTGTCTTCATTTGAAGACTTAGTCATCACTGTAGTCAACTGATGGTTGTTGGTGCCAATTCAATGCCAACAGGAATCCTCAACTTGGGGTGCAGTGAAGAAGGAAACTATTGAGTGCAAAGAACTCAGTTGTAATACATGTCTGATGGCTGTGGAACAGCACTGATGTGAAGCAGCTCTGGGGCCAGGCCCCTCTCTGGTTAGACAGTTCTGCTCTGCCCCACCTGCTCTGTCCACTCAGGTCTGCTCCACTCTGCTTATTTCTGCTCCTGCACTGGTCTGACCTATGGTGTTTCAGCTCCAGCAAGGGAAACACAGTCTGCAGTTTTCAGTCATCTTCAATCTTCAAGGAAAGTGCATTCTCTGAGCCAGAGGGGGGCTGACTTATATAGATAGAAGTCTCTACCCCTCTTTCCTGATTGGTTGCTTCTCATGCAAATGATGATTCCAAATCCTCAAAGTTTGATTGGTCTAAAAAGCACTGTCTTGATTGTTCAGTGAAGATACTGATGGGAATGTGGATGCACAGTTCCAGTTGGATGGGGAAGGCCTCAATCCTATTGTTTGAGAAACCCCTTAATAAGGGCTGTCTTAGATGGCAGAAAACACAGTGCAAGTACGCAGGTCAGTGCCACAGACAGGCAGCTTAGTGCAGGATTCTCCCTGAAATGCAGTTTGCGTGAGAGGTCTCTTGTGGAGAAATGGCTGCTAGGCTCTGTTTTTTAAATTTGAGCTCATTTAAGCCACTGAGAGCCCTTCTTAGTAGGTTTCTTCTTTCTCAGGGTCCACATTGTTCTATGATGACTAAAACATAATATATACTCAATAAATATTTCCTGTTATTAAGAGACTGAATGATCATTATTGATGTACACATAACTTAGAAAAGGACTTTATGTTAATACATGAATGAGTAATATGATTTGAAAGAGAGTTTTAAAATATGTTTTATTGATTTTTTTTTAGAGAGAGAGGGAGAGAAACATTGATGTGAGAGAGAAATATCACGCATGCACCCTGACTAGGACCTGAACCCCAAACCTGAGCATGTGCCCTGACCAGAATTGAACCAGTGACTTTTTGGTATGTGGGACAACGCTCGATCAGCTGAGTCACACCAGCCAGGGCATTTTTTAAGTGAATAGGAAGATCTATTAGCAAGATGAGCCCTGGCTGGTTTGGCTCAGCAGTTGAAGCATCAGCCCGTGGACCAAAGAGTTGCAGGTTCAATTCCTGCCAAGAGCATGGTCAAGGGCAGGTAGCTCGGTTGTGGTCCATCCCCAGCCCTGGTTAGGGTCATGCGTGAGGCAGCCAACCATTGTCTCTCTCACATTGACGTTTCTCTCTCTCTCCCTCCTTCCCTCCCTCCCTCCCACTCTATCTGAAGATAAATGGAAAAATATCCTCAGGTGAAGACTTAAAAAAAAAAGGCAAGATGATAAATGGATGTCAGGAATGTTGCTTGCAAGGGGTTAGACAAAACAGGAGCCTAGCCCAGCCAGTGTGGCTCAGAAGTCGCTGATTTGATACCCGGTCAGGGCACGTGCCCAGGTTGTGGGCCCAATCCCCAGTGGGGGTCATGCAGGAGGCGGCCAATTGACGTTCTCTCTCATCGGTGTTTCTATCTCTCTCCCTCTCCCTTCCTCTCTTTCTAACATTAATAAAGAAAAATAAATAAAAACAAAACAGGAGCCTATTGGCTCACCTAATCAAACCAAAGCAGGACAGGGATGTATGTGGAATCAGGCATCTGGCACTATGTACCTGGACACCACCAAGATGACTCCATCTCTCATTTCAGCTTCTTCTTTTTCTTCTTCTTCTTCTTCTTCTTCTTCTTCTTCTTCTTCTTCTTCTTCTTCTTCTTCTTCTTCTTCTTCTTCTTTATCTCAGCTTCAATTTTGTCAGATAACTTGCTTCAAGCATCTAGAAACTTGAAGCTCTCAGCCTCTCCTCTCAGCCTCTCAGTCTCTCACCAGAGAGGAGTGAACTCTTCCCTGAACTCCAATTTGATAAAATCCAGGGAGGATCTCTGATTGGCCTAGGCTAGGCTTGTGCTTACACCTGTGGTCAAGGCACTGCCATTGGCAGCTTGGATTAAAATGTACCTGGTTGGAGTGGGGGGCAAAGCAGTTCCCTAAAAAACAGGGATGTTGTTCTTATATAAGAAGAGAAAGTTGATGCAAACTGAATCATAAATGTCAACTGCAAAAAGGTGGGCGGGATAAGAATTTCAACAAATTTTGTGCATATCTAGCACTAAAGTTTTGAGGGATATTTCATCAAAATTCAATGTGCTGGAACTATAGAATGTTAACGTGGAGATAGACCTCAAAGTTGCTAAACCCAGAACTTGAGACAATGCACAAATCCTCTATGCCCTGTGTATTACCACTGAATTTTCACATAGCAAGCCCAGACAAAAGAAATGAATCTGAGATATTTTATTGAAAAGACAAACTGTTTGGGGTTTTTTTTTTCCCTCTACTTGCTCTGGTGAACTTCTTAGAATATGTGAGAGATAAACCAGGTGAATGGATAGAAAGATGCAGTGTCTTAAAATATTGATTTGTTTACAAATTAATTTATTCATGTAAAGCACTTCCAGTAAAAATCTTATGGATTTTCTAGGAACTGAATAAAATAATTCTAGATTCTATTTTTAAAGCCCCCCAAAGGCAAGATGCACTTGAAGAATAAATAAGTATGGGAACCTAGCCTTCAAGATAATGACTTAATATAAAGCTATAGTTACACAGTATGATAATGGCACTGGTATAGATCAATAAGTGGAAACTTTTTCAGGCAGTTGTAAGATGGCCTTAACGATCCCCCTACTGGTATTCACACTCTTGTGCTTTTACAGAAGTGATGGGATGTCACTTCTGAGATTAGGTTATTTAAGACTGTGATTCTTTTATTGGGAGCTCTCTCTCACTTGCTTTTTCTCCAGTCTCTCACTCAGAAGGTAAGCAAGCTGTCATGTTGTGAGCAACAGTATGGAAAGACTCATACAGCAAGGAACTGATATCTCTACTCAACAACTAGTGGGAGCCCTGGCCAATTTGGCTCAGCGGTTGAGCATTGACCTGCGGACCAGAGAGTCCCGGGTTCAGTTTCCGCTAGGGGCACGTTCCACGAAAAAACAAAACAAAAACCAACTAGTGGGAACCCGAGCTCTGCCAATGGTCACGTGAGTAAGCTTGGCGGTGGGTCCTCTCCCAGTAGAGCTGTGAGATGACTGCTGCCCCAGTTGACACCTTAGTTTTGAATTTGTGAGAAATCCTGAGCCAGAATTACCCAACTAGACCATTCTCGGATTTCTAATCCATAGAAACCATGATATATAAGTGTTTGTTGTTTTTAGCTGCTAAGTTTTGGGATAATTTGCTGTGCAGCAATACAGAGCTCTGTTTCTCACAAACACACACACACACGCTGGATACAGATCAGAGTCAGTACGATACTTCAGGGGAAAAGGGTAAAGTTTTCAATGAATGGTGCTAGGACACCATAGTTCATATTTATGGGGGAAGAAGCAGGGGAGTAGATTTCTCTATTTCTTACCATAAAGAAAAACAAAAGTCCTAGTGTATTAAAGATATAAATGTGAGCCCTGACCGGTTTGGCTCAGCGGTTGGAGCGTCAGCCTGCGGTCAGAGAGACCTGGGTTCGGTTCCTGCTAAGGGCACATATCTTGGTTGCGATTTGTCTCCGGCCCTGGATGGGTCATGAGGGTGGCAGCCACTTGATGTGTACCTTTCACGTCGATATTTCTTTTCTTTTTTTTTTTTTTTCTTTAAGGTATTTTTTTAATCTTTATTGTTGAATGTATTACAGATGTTCCTCATTTTTCCCAGATTGACCCCCTCCTCCCCACTCCTGCCCCCCTCCTACCCCCCTCCCACCTTTTCCCACACTGTTGTCTGTGTCTATTGGTTATGCATATAAGTTCTTTGGTTTATTTCTTCTCACCCCCCAATCCCCCTTCTCTTTGAGGTTTGTCAGTCTCGCAACCAATTTGTTCTTCTTAATACCTTCACCTTTTTCATCCATTCCCCCAACCCCCCTCCCATCTGGCAACCAACAAAATGCTCTGTATCTATGAGAATGTTTCTGTTTTGCCTGTTCATTTTGTTTGTAGATTCCATTG